CCGAGGTAGACAATCCCCTTGACTACTGGGCAACGAAACTTGACCTTTGGCCCCAACTAGCTGAATTTGCCCTTGAAAGGCTGTCATGCCCGGCCAGTAGCGTGGCATCGGAGCGCGTGTTTAGTGCGGCAGGAGGTATTGTAACTCCGCGGAGGACACGACTGTCCACCCAAAGTGTGGAGAGACTCACGTTTGTGAAAATGAATCAGGCGTGGATTAGTCTGGATTTCAAACCACCAGTTCCTGACACAACTGACTAAATCCGCCATGAATCATGCCTCAAACATGTGCCACTTTGAGGTCTCCTCACACACTGCTGGTGTGTAGATTTTTTTTGACATAGGGTGCTGGCAGATTACGGGCCTCCCATAGCTGCTGCCAGGCCCCTAATCTGCCATAGGCCCCCTATGCCCCGCCTCCTCTGCTGCTGCCAGGTCCAGAGTCTCTCTCATGGGTCCCTGTACTGCCTACTGGCCTCCCATCTGCCATGCTGCTGTCTCCATCGCCACACTCTGCCATGTGCCACTTTCAGGTCTCCTCACACACTGCTGGTGTGTAGAATTTTTTGACATAGGGTGCTGGCAGATTACGGGCCTCCCATAGCTGCTGCCAGGCCCCTAATCTGCCATAGGCCCCTATATACCGCCTCCTCCTGCTGCTGCCAGGTCCAGAGTCTGTCATGGGTCCCTGTACGGCCTCCCATTGCTGCTGTCTCCATCGCCACACTCTGCCATGTGCCACTTTCAGGTCTCCTCACACACTGCTGGTGTGTAGAATTTTTTGACATAGGGTGCTGGCAGATTACGGGCCTCCCATAGCTGCTGCCAGGCCCCTAATCTGCCATGGGCCCCTATATACCGCCTCCTCATGCTGCTGCCAGGTCCAGAGTCTGTCATGGGTCCCTGTACGGCCTCCCATTGCTGCTGTCTCCATCGCCACACTCTGCCATGTGCCACTTTCAGGTCTCCTCACACACTGCTGGTGTGTAGAATTTTTTGACATAGGGTGCTGGCAGATTACGGGGCCTCCCATAGCTGCTGCCAGGCCCCTAATCTGCCATGGGCCCCTATATACCGCCTCCTCATGCTGCTGCCAGGTCCAGAGTCTCTCATGGGTCCCTGTACGGCCTCCCATTGCTGCTGTCTCCATCGCCACACTCTGCCATGTGCCACTTTCAGGTCTCCTCACACACTGCTGGTGTGTAGAATTTTTTGACATAGGGTGCTGGCAGATTATGGGCCTCCCATAGCTGCTGCCAGGCCCCTAATCTGCCATAGGCCCCTATATACCGCCTCCTCATGCTGCTGCCAGGTCCAGAGTCTCTCATGGGTCCCTGTACGGCCTCCCATTGCTGCTGTCTCCATCGCCATCGCCACACTCTGCCATGTGCCACTTTCAGGTCTCCTCACACACTGCTGCTGTGTGTAGAATTTTTTGACATAGGGTGCTGGCAGATTACGGGCCTCCCATAGCTGCTGCCAGGCCCCTAATCTGCCATAGGCCCCTATATACCGCCTCCTCTGCTGCCAGGTCCAGAGTCTGTCATGGGGGTCCCTGTACGGCCTCCCATTGCTGCTGTCTCCATCGCCACACTCTGCCATGTGCCACTTTCAGGTCTCCTCACACACTGCTGGTGTGTAGAATTTTTTGACATAGGGTGCTGGCAGATTACGGGCCTCCCATAGCTGCTGCCAGGCCCCTAATCTGCCATGGCCCCTATATACCGCCCGCCTCCTCATGCTGCTGCCAGGTCCAGAGTCTCTCATGGGTCCCTGTACGGCCTCCCCTCCCATTGCTGCTGTCTCCATCGCCACACTCTGCCATGTGCCACTTTCAGGTCTCCCACACTGCTGGTGTGTAGAATTTTTTGACATAGGGTGCTGGCAGATTACGGGCCTCCCATAGCTGCTGCCAGGCCCCTAATCTGCCATAGGCCCCTATACCGCCTCCTCATGCTGCTGCCAGGTCCAGAGTCTGTCATGGGTCCCTGTACGGCCTCCCATTGCTGCTGTCTCCATCGCCACACTCTGCCATGTGCCACTTTCAGGTCTCCTCACACACTGCTGGTGTGTAGAATTTTTTGACATAGGGTGCTGGCAGATTACGGGCCTCCCATAGCTGCTGCCAGGCCCCTAATCTGCCATAGGCCCCTATATACCGCCTCCTCATGCTGCTGCCAGGTCCAGAGTCTCTCATGGGTCCCTGTACGGCCTCCCATTGCTGCTGTCTCCATCGCCACACTCTGCCATGTGCCACTTTCAGGTCTCCTCACACACTGCTGGTGTGTAGAATTTTTTGACATAGGGTGCTGGCAGATTACGGGCCTCCCATAGCTGCTGCCAGGCCCCTAATCTGCCATGGGCCCCTATATACCGCCTCCTCATGCTGCTGCCAGGTCCAGAGTCTCTCATGGGTCCCTGTACGGCCTCCCATTGCTGCTGCTGTCTCCATCGCCACACTCTGCCATGTGCCACTTTCAGGTCTCCTCACACACTGCTGGTGTGTAGAATTTTTTGACATAGGGTGCTGGCAGATTACGGGCCTCCCATAGCTGCTGCCAGGCCCCTAATCTGCCATAGGCCCCTATATACCGCCTCCTCATGCTGCTGCCAGGTCCAGAGTCTGTCATGGGTCCCTGTACGGCCTCCCATTGCTGCTGTCTCCATCGCCACACTCTGCCATGTGCCACTTTCAGGTCTCCTCACACACTGCTGGTGTGTAGAATTTTTTGACATAGGGTGCTGGCAGATTACGGGCCTCCCATAGCTGCTGCCAGGCCCCTAATCTGCCATAGGCCCCTATATACCGCCTCCTCATGCTGCTGCAGGTCCAGAGTCTGTCATCATGGGTCCCTGGCCTCCCATTGCTGCTGCTGCTGCTGTCTCCATCGCCACACTCTGCCATGTGCCACTTTCAGGTCTCCTCACACACTGCTGTGTGTGTAGAATTTTTTGACATAGGGTGCTGGCAGATTACGGGCCTCCCATAGCTGCTGCCAGGCCCCTAATCTGCCAGGCCCCTATATACCGCCTCCTCATGCTGCTGCCAGGTCCAGAGTCTCTCATGGGTCCCTGTACGGCCTCCCATTGCTGCTGTCTCCATCGCCACACTCTGCCATGTGCCACTTTCAGGTCTCCTCACACACTGCTGGTGTGTAGAATTTTTTGACATAGGGTGCTGGCAGATTACGGGCCTCCCATAGCTGCTGCTGCCAGGCCCCTAATCTGCCATAGGCCCCTATATATACCCGCCTCCTCATGCTGCTGCTGCCAGGTCCAGAGTCTGTCATGGGTCCCTGTACGGCCTCCCATTGCTGTCTCCATCGCCACACTCTGCCATGTGCCACTTTCAGGTCTCCTCACACACTGCTGGTGTGTAGAATTTTTTGACATAGGGTGCTGGCAGATTACGGGCCTCCCATAGCTGCTGCCAGGCCCCTAATCTGCCATGGCCCCCCTATATACCGCCTCCTCATGCTGCTGCCAGGTCCAGAGTCTCTCATGGGTCCCTGTACGGCCTCCCATTGCTGCTGTCTCCATCGCCACACTCTGCCATGTGCCACTTTCAGGTCTCCTCACACACTGCTGGTGTGTAGAATTTTTTGACATAGGGTGCTGGCAGATACGGGGCCTCCCATAGCTGCTGCCAGGCCCCTAATCTGCCATAGGCCCCTATATACCGCCTCCTCATGCTGCTGCCAGGTCCAGAGTCTGTCATGGGTCCCTGTACGGCCTCCCATTGCTGCTGTCTCCATCGCCACACTCTGCCATGTGCCACTTTCAGGTCTCCTCACACACTGCTGGTGTGTAGAATTTTTTTTTTGACATAGGGTGCTGGCAGATTAGGGCCTCCTAGCTGCTGCTGCCAGGCCCCTAATCTGCCATAGGCCCCTATATACCGCCTCCTCACATGCTGCTGCTGCCAGGTCCAGAGTCTGTCATGGGTCCCTGTACGGCCTCCCATTGCTGCTGTCTCCATCGCCCACACTCTGCCATGTGCCTTTCAGGTCTCCTCACACACTGCTGGTGTGTAGAATTTTTTGACATAGGGTGCTGGCAGATTACGGGCCTCCCATAGCTGCTGCCAGGCCCCTAATCTGCCATGGCCCCCTATATACCGCCTCCTCATGCTGCTGCTGCCAGGTCCAGAGTCTGTCATGGGTCCCTGTACGGCCTCCCATTGCTGCTGTCTCCATCGCCACACTCTGCCATGTGCCACTTTCAGGTCTCCTCACACACTGCTGGTGTGTAGAATTTTTTGACATAGGGTGCTGGCAGATTACGGGCCTCCCATAGCTGCTGCTGCCAGGCCCCTAATCTGCCATAGGCCCCTATATACCCGCCTCCTCATGCTGCTGCCAGGTCCAGAGTCTGTCATGGGTCCCTGTACGGCCTCCCATTGCTGCTGCTGTCTCCATCGCCACACTCTGCCATGTGCCACTTTCAGGTCTCCTCACACACTGCTGTGTGTGAATTTTTTGACATAGGGTGCTGGCAGATTACGGGCCTCCCATAGCTGCTGCCAGGCCCCTAATCTGCCATAGGCCCCTATATACCGCCTCCTCATGCTGCTGCCAGGTCCAGAGTCTCTCATGGGTCCCTGTACGGCCTCCCATTGCTGCTGTCTCCATCGCCACACTCTGCCATGTGCCACTTTCAGGTCTCCTCACACACTGCTGGTGTGTAGAATTTTTTGACATAGGGTGCTGGCAGATTATGGGGCCTCCCATAGCTGCTGCCAGGCCCCTAATCTGCCATAGGCCCCTATATACCGCCCCGCCTCATGCTGCTGCCAGGTCCCAGAGTCTCTCATGGGTCCCTGTACGGCCTCCCATTGCTGCTGTCTCCATCGCCACACTCTGCCATGTGCCACTTTCAGGTCTCCTCACACACTGCTGGTGTGTAGAATTTTTTGACATAGGGTGCTGGCAGATTACGGGCCTCCCATAGCTGCTGCCAGGCCCCTAATCTGCCTGCCATAGGCCCCTATATACCGCCTCCTCATGCTGCTGCCAGGTCCAGAGTCTCTCATGGGTCCCTGTACGGCCTCCCATTGCTGCTGTCTCCATCGCCACACTCTGCCATGTGCCACTTTCAGGTCTCCACACACACTGCTGGTGTGTAGAATTTTTTGACATAGGGTGCTGGCAGATTACGGGCCTCCCATAGCTGCTGCCAGGCCCCTAAATGCCATGGGCCCCTATATACCCGCCTCCTCATGCTGCTGCCAGGTCCAGAGTCTGTCATGGGTCCCTGTACGGCCTCCCATTGCTGCTGTCTCCATCGCCACACTCTGCCATGTGCCACTTTCAGGTCTCCTCACATGCTGGTGTGTAGAATTTTTTGACATAGGGTGCTGGCAGATTACGGGCCTCCCATAGCTGCTGCCAGGCCCCTAATCTGCCATAGGCCCCTATATACCGCCGCCTCCTCATGCTGCTGCCAGGTCCAGAGTCTGTCATGGGTCCCTGTACGGCCTCCCATTGCTGCTGTCTCCATCGCCACACTCTGCCATGTGCCACTTTCAGGTCTCCTCACACACTGCTGGTGTGTAGAATTTTTTGACATAGGGTGCTGGCAGATTACGGCCCTCCCATAGCTGCTGCCAGGCCCCTAATCTGCCATAGGCCCCTATATACCGCCTCCTCATGCTGCTGCCAGGTCCAGAGTCTCTCATGGGTCCCTGTACGGCCTCCCATTGCTGCTGTCTCCTCCATCGCCACACTCTGCCATGTGCCACTTTCAGGTCTCCTCACACACTGCTGGTGTGTAGAATTTTTTGACATAGGGTGCTGGCAGATTACGGGCCTCCCATAGCTGCTGCCAGGCCCCTAATCTGCCATGGGCCCCTATATAGGCCCCTATATACTGCCTCCCTGGGTCCCTGCTCCAGTCCCATTGCTGCCAGGTCCAGAGTCTCTCATGGGTCCCTGTACGGCCTCCCATTGCTGCTGTCCTCCATCGCCACTCTGCCATGTGCCACTTTCAGGTCTCCTCACACACTGGTGTGTAGAATTTTTTGACATAGGGTGCTGGCAGATTACGGGCCTCCCATAGCTGCTGCCAGGGCCCCTAATCTGCCATAGGCCCCTATATACCGCCTCCTCATGCTGCTGCCAGGTCCAGAGTCTGTCATGGGTCCCTGTACGGCCTCCCATTGCTGCTGTCTCCATCGCCACACTCTGCCATGTGCCACTTTCAGGTCTCCTCACACACTGCTGGTGTGTGAATTTTTTGACATAGGGTGCTGGCAGATTACGGGCCTCCCATAGCTGCTGCCAGGCCCCTAATCTGCCATAGGCCCCTATATACCGCCTCCTCATGCTGCTGCTGCCAGTCTGTCATGGGTCCCTGTACGGCCTCCCATTGCTGCTGTCTCCATCGCCACACTCTGCCATGTGCCACTTTCAGGTCTCCTCACACACACTGCTGGTGTGTAGAATTTTTTGACATAGGGTGCTGGCAGATTACGGGCCTCCCATAGCTGCTGCCAGGCCCCTAATCTGCCATAGGCCCCTATATACCGCCTCCTCATGCTGCTGCCAGGTCCAGAGTCTGTCATGGGTCCCTGTACGGCCTCCCATTGCTGCTGTCTCCATCGCCACACTCTGCCATGTGCCACTTTCAGGTCTCCTCACACACTGCTGGTGTGTAGAATTTTTTTTGACATAGGGTGCTGGCAGATTACGGGCCTCCCATAGCTGCTGCCAGGCCCCTAATCTGCCATGGGCCCCCTATACCGACTCCTCATGCTGTGACGTTGCAACAAGGTGGAATTCAACCCTACATATGTTAGACCGCCTTTACGAACAGCAAAAGGCCATCACAGATTTCCTGATGTTAAAAGCGGATAAAGGTACTCCCTGTGTAACTTAGATGTCAGCCATTGGCAGCTCATGCGTGACACCTGCGCTTGCTCAGGCCCTTTGAGGAGGCCACGCTATTCGTGAGTCGGCAGGACTATGGGATGAACGACGTCATTCCTCTGTTGCACGTCCTGGAACAAATGCTGTTAACAATGGCTGGTCAGGGTGCGGTAGACGTGGCGCACAGATCTCAACGCCACATGACCCCTGTGGGGGCAGGACAGGAAGAAGAGGAGGAGGTAGAGGAGGACATTGGTGCTCAGGAATTATTGAGTGAAATGGGTGGTTTTTTTCCACTCAGCGGACAGGAGTGGAGGAGCAGGAGCATCTGGTAGAGGAGGAGGAGGAGGAGGAGACAGAGGACCCAGACGCACCGTGGCAGTATGCTGTGGAGATGGAGGCAGGGAGTCCCTCGCATTCCTTGGCACAAATGGCCCATAGCATGCTCGCTTGCTTGCGTAGCGACAGCCGAATAATAACCATCAGACAGAGGGATGACTTTTGGCTGTCCACCTTGTTGGGACCCTCGCTACCGTTCAAAAATGGTGGCCTTTTTCACACCTGCTGAGAGGGAGGCCAAAATAACGTACTATAAAAACCACCTATGTAGTCAGCTGGTCTCTGCCTGTCTGCGCCAACGTCCATCCTCAGACACTGTGGGCCCTGTGCGCTCGCGTTCCGCTGCCATGGCAGCAGGGGAGGGGGGTGGGGTGGTAGGAGCAGTGGCAGCTCCACCAGCAGCGGCTGCCTCAGTCTGCAGTCGATGATGAGTAGCTTTAGCTTTCTTCACCAGCGCAGTGAGGAAAAACTACTAACCAGCCGCAGCAGCAGCAGCAGCAGCAGCATCAGGTGGACCTGGAGCAGGACCTCAAACAACAGGCTTAGGCCTACTTGGACAGCACCCTGCCAACCGAGGTAGACAATCCCCTTGACTACTGGGCAACGAAACTTGACCTTTGGCCCCAACTAGCTGAATTTGCCCTTGAAAGGCTGTCATGCCCGGCCAGTAGCGTGGCATCGGAGCGCGTGTTTAGTGCGGCAGGAGGTATTGCAACTCCGCGCGGAGGACACGACTGTCCACCCAAAGTGTGGAGAGACTGACGTTTGTGAAAATGAATCAGGCGTGGATTAGTCTGGATTTCAAACCACCAGTTCCTGACACAACTGACTAAATCCGCCATGAATCATGCCCCAAACATGTGCCACTTTCAGGTCTCCTCACACTGCTGGTGTGTTCCATTTTTTGTCATAGGGTGCTGGCAGATTACGGGCCTCCCATAGCTGCTGCCAGGCCCCTAATCTGCCATGGGCCCCTATACCGCCTCCTCATGCTGCTGCCAAGTCCAGAGTCTCTCATGGGTCCCTGTACGGCCTCCCATTGCTGCTGTCTCCATCGCCCACTCTCTGCCATGTGCCACTTTCAGGTCTCCTCACACTGCTGGTGTATTCCATTTTTTTGTCATAGGGTGCTGGCAGATTACGGGCCTCCCATAGCTGCTGCCAGGCCAGGCCCCTAATCTGCCATGGGCCCCTATATACCGCCTCCTCATGCTGCTGCCAGGTCCAGAGTGTGTCATGGGTCCCTGTACGGCCTCCCATTGCTGCTGTCTCCATCGCCACACTCTGCCATGTGCCACTTTCAGGTCTCCTCACACTGCTGGTGGGTTCCATTTTTTGTCATAGGGTGCTGGCAGATTACGGGCCTCCCATAGCTGCTGCCAGGCCCCTAATCTGCCATGGGCCCCCGTACCGACTCCTCATGCTGCTGCCAGGCCCGTAATCTGTCATGGGCCCCTGTTGTCGCTTGTTGGCATATTCCGCTCGTTCAGATGCTCCTTCTCCTGCTACTCCTCTTCACGGATTCCGTCAGCAGTCTTTCTTGGAATCCGTTTCCAAGAGACAACAGTTTTGCGAGCACGCACCAGACGGTGCAGAAACTGAACGTCCTCCTGTCCAAGTTGCTGCTGCCAGGCTCGTAATCTGTCATGCGCCCCTGTACCGCCTCCTCATGCTGCTGCCAGGTCCAGAGTGTGTCATGGGCCCCCGTACCGACTCCAAATGCTGCTGCCAGGCCCGTAATCTGTCATGGGCCCCTGTACCGCCTCCCCATGCTGCTGCTGCCAGGTCCAGATTGTGTCATGGGTCCCTGTACGGCCTCCCATTGCTGCTGCCAGGCCTGTAATCTGCCATGGGCCCCCCCCCGTACCGACTCCTCATGCTGCTGCCAGGCCCGTAATCTGCCATGGGCCCCTGTACCGCCTCCTCATGCTGCTGCCAGGTCCAGAGTGTGTCATGGGTCCCTGTACGGCCTCCCATTGCTGCTGTCTCTATCGCCACACTCTGCCATGTGCCACTTTCAGGTCTCCTCACACTGCTGGTGGTTTCCATTTTTGTCATAGGGTGCTGTATGGCCTCCCATTGCTGCTGCTGCCTCCACCGCCACACTGTGGCTCCACACTCTGGTTTTGGCCCCGTGACTGGCCAAATGAGTGAAGTGTGCGGTGATTCTAAGATCGACGGCACTCATCTGCATGTCATACTGCCTGACAGTATTATTTCTCTTCCCCAGCAGACTCCAAGGGCATTTAAATTAAAGGTACAGTGTTCAGCACTAATATAAAGACCAGTTACTGCTGCTCTCTGTCCTTGTCCAGAATTATAGGTCTGGTATCCACCCCCTCCTGTAGTTTCCTGTATTGGGTGGACATTGCTGGTTCCTTCCCACAGCTCTGCTGTCTGCCATGTATAGCACTGTGATGAAATCACTGCCACATTTGCAGGTTAATATCTGGATTTGCAAAGGCTTTTGGCAAACACAAAGGCAGACGTATATCCACTTCAGTTCCAGGCCATTTTTGGCACTTTGTTTACATGATAAAATCAGTAATTTTTGCTAGAAAATGTCTTAGAACCCCCCACGCATTATAAATTTTTTTTATGTCACATGGTATTTGCGCAATGGTTTTTCAAATGCATTTTTTTTAGGGAAACATACATTTTTTGAACTTTAGTGCAAAAAACACAATACATAACCCAATTTTTTTTTTTAAAAATATAAAAGATGATATTACGCCAAGTAAAAAGATACCAAACATGTCACGCTTTAAAATTGCACACACCCGTGCAACAAAAGACGTAAACTTTACTATTCATAGGCGACGCTTTAAAAGCCTTTACAGGTTACCACTTTAAATTTACAGAGGAGGTCTAGTGCTAGAATTACTGCCCATGATCTGGCGTTTGCGGCGATAAATCACATGTGTGGGGCGATCACTGTTTGCGTGTGTGGCGTGTGCCTTCGCTTTTGTGCATGAGCACAGGGGGACGGGGGTGCTTTTTTTTTTTTTTTTAATTATTAATATATATATATATTTTTTCACTTTTATTGCTCTCACAAGGAATGTAAACATCGCTTGTGACAGCAATAGACATGTGACAGGTACTCTTAAGTCCTCATGCACACTGGACGTTTTTACAGCTGCTGTTTTTGGCTTTTGACATTTTTTTTCTACAGCTAGTAAACTCAACAGCATGTTATCCTATGTGTCCATGCACACATAGACTGTATTCAGCATTTTTTGGCAGGGGCGTTTTTTGGCTGGAAAAACCCCCCCAGAACTACTGGGTTTCTAGAGGAGTTTTTTAGCTGGAAAAACACTCTAATGCTGAAAAACGTGGTAAAACATGGTAAAATGCAGTAAATCTCAGCAAACCAGTGTTTTTGGACTTTTTTTGAGCAAAAAAATACAAACGTGGAAAAAGCATGAAAAACGCGACAAACGCTGAAAAACTGAAGTTTTTTTAACGTGACTTTACACAGCTAGCATTACCAGCGTTATTAAAATGCCCAGTGTGCATGGAGCCTTATGTAGGGATCTGGGGTCTTACAGACCCCAAATCCCTCCTCTGCACAAATTTTTATGAATGGCGCAGATAGTTTCCGAGTAAACCGGAAGTGATGTCAGGTCATCGCTTCCAGTTTACTATAAGGGACAGCTGATCAAAGCTGATCACCACTTTGTTTGGTTGTCCAGCCAGCCGGCGGATCTGCTAGGTCATTGCCCTGGCCTTCCGGTGGCACGGGAGAACCCGAGAGAGCGGCAGAAGGTGGCAGAGAGGGTTGTCCCCTCACGCTGCTTGTAGAAGCAGTTGAGCGGCTAGTTAGCCGTTCAGATTGTTTGTACAAAAGAGCTGACTGCCGCCTCTAAAAAATAGTACCGGGGTGCCTCCAAAAGTTCAGCGACATGAGGGTATATCACTGGTCCGGAAGTGGATATACACTGGAGACCTAACTGAAGTCCACAAGTGGTTTATCAGTAAATGTGTCCAAAAATAAGCTGTTAATGCAATTCAGGACATTTTAAAAACTATTCTAAAGTCATAAACTGCTATTAGGCTGTACTTTGAAGAGACCTTATGGCCAGACCATTCCTTTCAACAACAGTCTATGGAAATATACTTTATATGTGCATTTAACATTTTTTGCATGGTTTGTACCTGTAAAAGCCTCCCTTGGGTAGACTTCCCAAAGCCTGAGAATGCTGCAGGGTGCTGTCATCCAGGATTTGATGTCAACAGTCCTAGCAGACTCATTTGACACTCTACAGCAGCCTTCCCCAACCAGGGTTCCTTCAGAGATTGCCAGGGGTTCCTTCAGAAATGAGCAACATCTTCCTCTCAGATAAGAAACCACTGACATCAATGGTCATCCCTTTTTAAGGCTATCTGTAAGGGGGGCAGTATTGACCAGCAATATAATGGGGTCCCTTCCTAATGATCACCAGTGTGAGTTGGTTATTCTCCTTTTGACCACGAATCTAAGGAGGGGGGCCTTCTCCAATGCCACCAAATTAAGGAAGCTCTTCACTGCACTCCACAAGTATAGGAGTTCATGTCTCCACTGTGATGGGACACTAGTTTACTGGATATTATTATTTGCTTTCTTTCATTACTGTTAATGAAGAACATTTTGTTATGTAAAGTGATATACCATGAGCTGTATCTACAGTAATTATAATCAGGGGTTCCATGAGACCCATAAGTTATTGTAAGTTATTGTCCTTTCATGTTTTAAAGGTTCAGAATGGCTGCTCTATAGTAAGTCCCTTGTCTCTTTCCCCCAGATGTCCCCTAAAAGGTTAGATAGAGCGGTGAGGGGAGGGGTAAGGAGCTAGGCCAGCACACAGAATCATTCAACAAACACAAAAAGGAGAGTGCTATGACATGCAAGGATAGAAGGGGCTGTGCTAGGGATGCACATTGCAAAGCAATACAAAATGGTTTATGAAATGGAAAATCACTGCATATAAGTATTTAAAATACCTAATTTTTCTATACTTTACCTGTTTTTTTAATTTGCAGTAATCTTTAGGATGCATTTATATTTAGAAGATGTCCCAAAGGATAACTAGAGCAACGACCTCTTGTCACATGATTCTGTTCTATGTAACGTCTCTACAGAGCTAGAATGTTTGGGCAAGGCTTTTGATGTGCCCAATGACAACGCAGCCCTATATCCAAGAAACTCGATGACCTGCACTTTTGTGGGCTCAAATTAAAGCCAGCCATGTTTAGAATTTTTGGATAGACTGTTTTGAACCCTTATTAGGTTTTTACTGCCCCCACTAGGGAGATTTATCTTCACTATTGCTCTGGCTGACTATTGTTTCTGGTACACAAAGTGATAAGAAACCCATATTTTTGAGTGTTGACTAAACAGTAGGTGAGAAAAAAATTTCCATGTGTAAACCTTTTGTGGTGACAGCTGTCCAAGAGCTCTTTCACAGGGGCGGCCTGGGGACAGTAAAATCAGGGGGTGAGTCACACTTTTACCACCCTTCAAACACCCACCTAAAAAAGGAATATGCAGCCATTCAGGGCTTGCACACATGCCACGACTGCAATGTGTTGCTTCTCAACAGCAGCATTAAGCATTAAACTACCTTTCACATTCGGCAATGGTAAGGCGGTTCAGTTTTTTGAAGAGTAAAACAGGCGAGGAGATGAAATATCACTGCTGCACATCTGAACAATATCTAGGGGATATTAGAGGAAACATCCTCCTGGCTAAGATAGATCTTCTCTTGCTTCCTGTTGTTCCTCTTGCACAGGAAGTAAAGAAAAATCTCCTCGATGGGACACTGAGAAAAAAGTCCTGACAGAGGTCTCAGCCATTCCCTAATCTATCCAAAATAAACAAAAAAAGTTTTGGCTTTACAAACATTTAAACTCAAAGTCATGAAGATGAGGATGCTAAAACTAGAAGGATTTAGCCAACAAGGTAGCAGACTGAAGAAGATGAACACTAGAATGCAAATAAGAAATACTTAGCAGGACAAATGTGTCCACTGAGATGGTTTGATTGCAAAAATTTCATGTGATTGAAGTGAACCTTTAGCATTCTCCTTATGCAAATTTTCTAGACTTAACTGCTAAAATACAAAACAACTTTCAATGC